GGTGAAGGCATTCTGTCTTCTCCGGATCCCCTTCTGGTCCTCGAGATGCTTAGTGAGGACCTCCAGGGGGAGCTGTTCCATCACCTTGCCTGGGATGGAGGTGAGGCTGACAGGTCTGGAGCTTCCTGGCTCCTCCTTCTGGCCCTTTTTCAAGACTGGGGTGACAGTGGCTTTCTTCCAGTCCTCAGGCACCTCCCCTCCATGACCTTTCCAAGATGATGGAGAGCGGCATAGCAATAGCTTCTGACTGCTGCTCCCTCAGCACTTGGGGGTGCATCCCATCAGGGCCCATAGATTTGTGGATGTCGAGTTTGGACAAAAGATCTCTAACCTGATTCTCCTCTACCAAGCGTCTTCCTTTCTGCAGGCTTTCTCTCTTGCCCCCAGGGCCTGCAATTCCTGAGGACTGGCCTTAGAAGTAAAGACTGAAGCAAAGGCAGCATTCAGTAACTCTGCCTTCTCTGTATCCTTCTTCACCAGGGCACCCGCCCCATTCAGCAGTGGACCCACATTTTCCCTTTTGCTCTTGATGTATTTGAAGAAGCCTTTCTTGCTGTCCTTGACGTCCCTTGCCAGATTTAATTCCAACTGGGCCTTAGCCTTCCTTGTCACATCCCTGCGTGCTCTGACAACGTCCCTGTATTCCTCCCAAGTGGCCTGTCTCCTTTTCCACATTCTGTAGACTTCCTTCTTCTGCTGGAGTTTTGCCAGGAGTTCCTTGCTCATCCATGCAGGTCTCCTGCCCACTTTGCTGGACTTCCTACTCATAGGGATTCATTTATGCAATGAGTGGGTCTTCAGACTCACATGCTTAATCTATGCATGTATCTTTTTATCTTTTCTCTCCTTTTCTGTCCCCTCTTTCTTCAGCCTTAAATTTTCCTTTCTGGAGTCATCTCCCCTTCATCTTCCAAAATTCCAACCTGAATGTGGTCTTTTTGCATAATTTTGAGCATGATCTTTCCAATCTCTTGTCAATAACACAGCATGAGAATCTTAACTAAGAGAGCAAATCGTCTTCTTAAATGTCTTCTTAAATAAGTAATAATTTATTTTTTGCTTAGCCAGAGCACTTTCTTCCAAGTATCTCTATGTATCTGCCAGGTATGGACTCAGTAAGTCTCACAGCAGAGAAAGACGTTCTCTGGATCCACGTTCTTTGAATTAAAGTGTACTGGTAAAAAAACCAGACCCGCTCATGATCACACAGGAAATACACAGACATATCATCTGAGGAGAGGCTGAGAGAGCCCGGACTGTTCAGCCTGGAGAAGAGAAAGCTCAGGGGGAATCTTATCAGTGTTTATATATATATCTGATGGGAGAGTGTAAAGAAGAAGGAGCCAGACTCTGCTCAGTGGTGCCTAGGGACAAGACGAGGCAAGCGGCACAAACACTGATACATGTGGAGTTCCATACATGTAAGAAACAACTTTTGTACTTTAAGGGTGGTTGAATACTGCAGCAGGTTGCCCAGAGAGGTGGTGGAATCTCCACCCTTGGAGATATTCATAACCCGCTTGGACACAGTCCTGGGCAACTTGCTCTAGGTGACCCTGCTTGAGCAAGGAGTTGGACCAGGCCATCTCCAGAAGTCCCTGCCAGCCCCAACTATTCTGTAGTTCTGCTGTTCTGTGAGATGGCAGGAACATATTTGACATTCAGTGCGTTTATCACTAGTCTAACCTTTTTTCCTCTCTTTATACAGCATGGATTCTGACTGTAATGCCTGTTAAACGTTCAACTCTTAAAAAAGTACTGTTGCACAGTTAAAAAATGCCACTTCATGCATTTTGTACAGTTTTAAAAATGAAGAAATCATTCTTACCGTAGAGAGCAAAGCTATTCATTTCAATTCTAAGACAATTATACTCACATTGCACACTTTTTTTATAATGACTATTTCTCCCTTCCTCCCCGCCAAAAATTGCTTCTGCAGTGACAGGAGGTACACACAAAATCTTGACCTACATTCAGTTCCACATAATTGCTAGTGCTAGTAGCTTGGTTCTGGTGGTTTGTAAATTTTGGTGGCATGTAGTTTTGGACTCCAAATCAGGACAAACAGAATGCACCTAGTTCCCAGGAAACAACATACATACATATCTTTCTGAGATCTACTAAATGCGACTTTAAAAGACAAGGGAACTCACATACCCAGCCATTTCCTCAGCTCTTGGTGCTGTGTAACCTTTTATCAACAGTTAATCACGAATCTGAAAGGCTGCTGCAGGTTTCATTTGTTGATACTGTGTATGCTAGATTCACAACAACTATGTTCATTTGTTCATATGCTGTGTACTGTAGTCAAAATACCATCTTGCTCATGTAGCTCGGTTTGATTTAAAAAAAGGAAAATCCTTGTCTTCTTCGTGTATGAGCAATTTCCATCATTAACATAATCAAGATGTTACTTGATTTATCCAGTACTGCTCCAGTTTTCTGCTGTTATTAAAAAAGATTCCAAATTATTTTACCGAATAATCAACCCTCAGGTATTTTCACACCAAAAGTTCATGCTATTATTGACTGGTGTATTTGCCAAATATTTGTTTATTTTGCGTAAACATTCATTATTATAAAAATGTAGGGGAAAAGCTGAATAAAATAATTAATTCCCAAAGGACGAATACAATTCATGACCTGGCCATCCACTGCCAGCTGTCTGCACTCAAAAATCTTCTGAATATCCCCTTTTGCTCCAGGACTGCTGGAATTATGCAACACGTACAGATAGTTTTGATAAGAGCTGTCTCAGCCCAAGACAGAGGAGGGGGAAGGGAGGGAAGAAATAAGACAGAAAGACAGACAATGGGACTCCCTGCTTTGCTGTTTACCTCCGCACGTCCAGCAAAGCACCGCAGTTCTGAACGCTAAAGCTTTTTATAAGCTGCCTGCCAGATTCCAGGAGGTTCTTCGTCTTCATGGTTGAGGTTACCAGATAGACCCTGAACCACCGCGAAAATCATTTTTTTAACATGAGCTTTTGTTTTTAATCATGTTAACATCATGCAGAAGTTAGCAACTCAAAGACGTGGATATAGTCCTGATTAGCTGAAGAGCCCACCTTTGAAAACGATAGCGCTTCTCTCTTGCTTTAGCAGTTAGAGCTGCTCTGGGCCTTACCTTAGCTTTACCAGGATAGGCACTGGGAGGCAGGAAGAGACAGTAAAAGACCGACAGCAATAACGGCACAGAGTAATTTTGGCTAAATTCAGCACTCTGTAAGCAGAACATCTTTCAGGCTCTGTAAAGGGCATCCTTCATATGACTAAAAAGTTCCTAACACTGTGGCTAAAGGGGAGGTGCTGTTAAAGTCTGCAGGTAGGACAGCCAGAAAGTTGTGACAGCCACAAACGTTCTGTCATACTTGCAAAATCTACCTGCTACTTCCAGTAAAAGTGGAACTTGAGAAAAGAGGCTAAAAGTGTTACAGAACATGCAAAAGGTATTACAAACAAAATATTAATGCTGATGCTTGTGTCAGGAATTATTGCTAAATATGATGTATTGTGCTGAAAAGGCCTCTCATAAATCAAGTGAATTAGTTAAAAAAAATTTTTTTTTCCTCCTTACCTCTTGAAAATTGTAACGCCTGGACTTTATTTCCTACTCTACATACAAATTGCTTAATAGTTTTCTGTTGTGTCTCTGTGGCAAAGCACTTTATAAGACTCATTCCTCTGTGAAGGTGCTAACTTTAAAGGACAGGGTGGGACACATTGTACTTGGTGACAGACCCCTCTAGTAAAGGCTCTGCGAGAGGAGTAGAAGACAGAGAAAGGTGTTCCTAAGAAGAGCAATCTCTATCCCTAAAATATTTGTGAAAAGATCACCCAGTTACCGTAACGTTGCTTCAGAAAAGCTTCCTTTATTGTCTGTTAGCTCTGCTATTTCATCAGTGAGATCTGTGCTAATTCCTGCAGCAACATCACATTTCTCACCTTTTCTCTGCCTCCATATGTTGCACTGGTGAAACGGGCTTTGTGATACTAGGCTGTAAATGACGACTGTGCCTTCTAGTAGAGGCTCTCCTTAGCAAATACGCACCGCAGTGGATGTTGGTACACCACTCCCTCTCTGCATTCCCAGACCTCCTCTCTTCCTTACTTCAGACACAGCTAGTTTACTGGACAGGTCAGGAAGGCTGCAGTACATGGCACAGTGCAGGTCTTCCTAGGCAGGAACACCCCTCTCAGCAGGTTGTAGGGCTAGAAGTCACAAGAAATGCCCAGATGTGCTCTGATCGTATGGCCTCTAGGGCTTAGAATTAGATCAGCTTTCTGCAGCCCATGGAAACCTGCTGAGGCAGCTACAGGAAGGCGAGACAAGGAACAACAACCTGGTAATGTAAGTTCCCTAGCTGGTGGTGCCAAATTCATCAGCAATGAGAGAAACAGAACACCTTTGCTTATGCTGAGAGGACTAAGCTCTCCTGTGGCTGCCCATTTTTTTCCGGAAAATGGTGCCTTTTGCCTTAGTTTATCATATCTCTCACCCTGTCCATCCTATCTTTACTACTTAGCACTTAATAACTTCAGAGCATCACCATGGCTAGAATACACCAACACAAGTGGAACGGCTCAAAATGAAAGGGTCACTATAATACAAATGAGGAGCTTACTTCAGGTAATTTCCAACACCTCAGAAGAATACATGGCATTAGTAAAATATATAGGGCGGTTGCACATTTCCTTGGGATCGCTCTTAAAACACTCTAATAGTTTCTCTGCTTCTCAAAGTGCATGCATGGCATTTCCTGCTCCAAGCAGATGGGAGAGGTAGTAAATCTGAGCTCATCTGAAGATTTGGCCCTTGCTGCTCACAGCATCATTCAACTCCGTCCTACGTAGCATCACCAAAGGGATCACTCCATGATCTTTTCAGTCTTAAAATTCTAGAAGTACAGTTAGAAATCAGATAGTCAACTGGAAATTAATAAAGAGTGATGCTTTTTTCTTTTTTTTTTGATCAGAACTACCAAGTACGCTTGCTTCTAGATATACTGGAGGAGGAAGAGCACGGAGAATAAAGGAGATAAAGTGGGAGCTTTATTTCAATTCAAGGTCTTAGGTTAGGTGGCGTATCTATGTATCCACAACACCCCACATACGCAGTGGAGAGGGAGACACCTGAAGAAATAGATTTGGCACACCTAACTCATAACCGCCATATGGAGATGCTGCTCCTAAAGAATGACCCTACAGGTGGTCTCTAAACGGGGTAAGATTCCCAGGCCGAAGACTTCAATCTGTGCCTGGAACCAGGTTATGTCTCTTTCGTACTTTGCACTGATTAGCCCCCTTTGCCTGGTTGAACAGGCAAAAGGGTAGCTTAGCAGTATCCTTCTGTGCTTCTTGGATGGCACGTGCTTTTGGCCTTGTAAAAATGGATTACACTTAACTCAAAGGGAAGATAATAAATGGCTGATCTGCTAAATACCAGACTTCCAAATCACTTCTGCTTAGAGCAAAATACAGGTGACAATTCTGAGGACACAAACAGACCAACTTCTAAGTAACAGGTCTTCACCAAGCAAAATCTCATCTCCACTTAGCCCCATATAAGATGCTAAACAGAGCACTTTTTGCCAGTCCTGGCTGAAAAGTCAGAGAAAAAAAATGAACTACTCAATAACTTCTTAAGGTAGTCCCACTTTGGGCTAGGGCTGAAGACAGTGACCAATATACAGACGTGTTCCCTGCCTCTGACCCTGCTGTATTAATCTTGCGAGCAAATCCTACGCAAGACTGCAGTTTGCAGGATGAGTACTTTTTACCTGCTCTACACCAATTAAAACTGATGATTTAGAGCCGACGCTAATCATGACTGACAAGAACTCCATCCCAATTTGCTCAGTAATTGTTAACTACTAACTGTGCAATTTTAAAGGTGACCACAAAGGTAAACTAGGTTGACTTCAGGTTTGTCAGCGTAATCTTTAATGCAGACTCCAAGATCACACGAGAGCTCACAGAGGCGCACTGTATGTGTCAATCCATCAGCTCTAACTGATCAAAGATGTCACTAGATACTCAGATCGCAATAACAGAGATAGGATGGAATCTGTTGCTGATTCATTATTAGCTGCTGATTCTTCAGCAGTCATAGGAATAAAAATTCATAAACACGTTTTTGGTAAACAGACGACATACACGACTATAAATGCACAGCAGATCTTCTGAGTGAGAAGGTACTACCTTTACATAAAAAAGTTTAAAATCACTTACCTGATTTGAAAAGTTTTCCGCTTTGTTTTGCTTCAACTATTTTTTTGTTATAATTTCAAAATGAGATTCTGAATCTGAAAGTGCATTGAAATTAGAAGCCAATTATCCTAATGGGTAGCAACGTTGCATCCTGAACTTTCTTGTGCTTTTGACATACAGAAGAAACAAAGCCATCATTACTTTTTTAAACAAGCATTAAGCAAGCATTTGAGTTGTTTATCCTAAATTGCTATGTGCTTACATTCTTTTCAGGGCCAGTTTTTTCATGTTTGTTAATTGGATGATAACAGAACACTGAATTTGACATACTGGTCGGCTAATTGTCATGCTCCCTCAAGATCAGGTTAGATACAAAAGCCAGATTTTGTTTTTGAAGACCAGATGCAGTCAGAAGCAGAAAACGTGTCATTTAGATCTGTAGGTGTTGTGACAGATCTTTGATTTATAGAAATCACCAATTTCGATGGAGTGAAGCTGGATTACAAAAGCAAAAAAACCTGGCTTTTTAACATAAGAACTACCACAGTAGTAGCACAGAGCTCCTCCCAAGGCCTTTCTCAGCTACTGCATCGCCAGGTTGCTTCTAACATTTAACCTATCCATTTAAGGCGGTCTACATATGGCTTCGACTCAGCAGCACTGCCCAGCTACAACTTCAAGTCCAGTACAAGAGGAAAATGTCCCGTTTTCCTTACATTTGAAGACAGAAAAACGTCTGTGTTCTTATAAGCTGCTATTCTGATTTTGTCAAGACGCTACTACATGGAGTAGTTTAAACTATCTCTATTTTCATCTTTTTTTACCCACGACAGGCAGAGCAGCGTCAGGACATAAAAACTGCCCATCAATAAAGATGGAGCACTCTTTTTCTCTCCCGGCACATTTGCGAACTGTGACGAAGGCCAGAGTCTGGGGGTGCAGGGAAGAAAGTACACCATTAACCAACCATTGCTGCGTGGCAGCCTCCCATTTCAATTTCACAACTGACCGGACAAGAAATGAACACCCACCCTCCCACCAGGTGCAACAGCAGCTTCAATCAGAACACCCTTGTATCTAGCTCTGCAGGGTGCTGAGTCCTTGGAGTGGACAGTATCAGATGCCTACAGTGGGGAAACTCAGCGCTTCACACTGCTGTGCTCTTCAGGCTTTAAGCACGTCACCTAAAAAGCAGCAGTAACTTCAGTTCCTCCTCCGCCGTCAGAGCAGCTCTGCAGCTTTCCGAAACGCGCTAAGCAACCGTCTTAACCTGCACTGCACCTAGCTTTGCGCTGCCCATCAACACACTGTGTGAAAAACTGGAGCCAAACAGTTTTGAAAAAGTTACGCTTTTCTCCCTTCCTTATACTACTCCTACCTACACGTTCCTTAGAAGAAAGACTGCTGAACGTGAGCAGAAGTTGGAATCTTTAAACAAACGTCATTATAGATATTTTACTATGATAAATGTTTTACGTAACTCCATATCTGTTTTTTCCTATGAGGTACAACCTAAACAAACAAGATAAACTGTCTCAAGGTACATCTATGAACATCCTTTTCAGGATGTTTTGTGGATCTTAAACCGAGACACAAGCAACTTCATGCCATGGCTCTTGCAAGCTACATTTGATTTTATTGCATGGAAGTTACCACCGAATACACTCTCACTCTTACCCGTACTATAGCGTTCAGATGTCAGGTAAGAACTGTAGCG